AAGAGTGTCACAATTACGAGAAGATAGTGAAGATACACAGGAAGTAAGATAGGTCAGCAGAGTGTGTGTAAGTGTCTCTCTCTCTCTCCCTCTCTCTCCCTCTCTCCCTCTCAGTCACTGCGTCTATGTTTGTGTAAAATGTAGCCTTGTTAGTCACCTCTGTTAGTCGCCTTTGGGGAGTAAATATCCTGTAATATCTGAAAGTCCAATCAATGATGTAAGGTTTCTCTAAACAATATTTAATAAAATAAACGCTCTCCATAGTGAGAGAGAGAAAGAGAGAGAGAGAGGCATCCGATGAGAATGACATTCTTAACACAGATTTTCTTTTCTTTTTTTTTTTACTTGGCAGACTGACTTTTTCTGACTCAAGTTTGAATCATTATTTAGTGTGTTAGTGTCTTATACATCCACTCGGTCAGTAAAGTCCCGTCCAGCAGAGGAAACGTGTCACTTCTCTGTTGGGTGATAATCCTCAGCCGTACTTCTCTGTGGATGTAGAAGCTCAGCAGCTTTGTGTTCTGTAAATTAGAGGATGTTTGCGTTTCTGTTCTGCCAATTCTCTGACAGTAATAGCGTTTCTTCATTTGCAAAAAATATCTTTTCATTGTGTCTGTCTCACTCAACCTTTTCCAGGGTTTTCCACTTTGTACGTTGAGCAGCCGTGGGATTATTTCTCACTTCATTGAAAAAAAAAAAAAAAAAATCTTTGAGGAAACGCTGCTGCCACATCTAACACCATTGTTAACACACACTCATTGTCTTTGAGGGCAAGTGTGTTGATGTGGGTACAATCCACGTAAAAGCAGCTATAAAAAAAAACAACAACAACAAAATCCCATAGAAAACCCACAGTGTGTGTGAAAGCTGTGTTAGAGCTTTACTAAATGTGTGTGGTTGTTTTCAGGTTAACACAAGTTCAGATGTTTGAATTGAAATGCATGACAAAAACTACTCACTTTTTACTGCAGTCGAACTAAGAGTCTGGTTTGCGTTCCTCTTCCCCTTACCTTGAAATGAGAGCAACTCTTTTGCAGAACAGCATGGTTTATTATGTTACTACAGTCAGTACTCCATGTTACTTATACCCATACAATTTTATACACATCACATTTTATGATATTAAGGCTTTTTTTCACCAGAAAAACTGTGAACAAATTGAAAAAAAAAGGTAGTAGTTGAAGGTAATAATAGAAGGAAAATGAGTACAAAAACTCTTGACATGTTTAGAATTCAAAATGTTCTGGCAGTGATTCACATTGAATCGCTTGACAATTTTTAAATGCTACAGTGACCCATGCATATTCAAAGAAGAGGGCAGGCTCAAAACTCCAGCTGTTCTTTTAATGAAACTCTGAAGCTGCCGGTTTATCATTGAAATGCTGTGATTAGCAGGTCAATGCCCCAGCAGGTCACTTTGTTAAGTGCTCATGACAGGAGAGTTCAGTGAGGAGGTCTATGCAAATGAGAGAAACCATACCATGCTTACCATACTCTTAATTTCCCTAAGGAAAAAAAAATCTATTACCTAACCTGCGAGTCACCATTAACGTACTTCACATGATTTATTTTTATTTTTTTTTAATTCAAACTTAACTTTAGTCGCTGCGGTCTTGTGCGTTTTGTATGGTTTGCATATGTGGCTGAGTGCAGCTGTGCTTCCTGTAGCAGCTCAGGCAGATGTTCCTGCATGGACTCCCCCTCCTCACACACACACACACACACACACACACCACCATGTCACCACACATGCCTCCTAAAGATCCTCATTCCATCATCTGTTGTGAAAACTCTTTTGATTTACACACCCTTGCATTGACTGTGAGCTGTTGTAACAGGATGTGAATGGAAAGTTAAAAATCTTTAGCAAATATATTTTGGTATAATGTTATTTTCTCATAATATTTTTTGTCATTAAGACTGTTGATACTGTTTTCAGTTGTACTTGGAGTTTATTTTTGAAGTTGTTGAACTCACAAGTGAGTGCAGTCAGTGGGAAATGTTTTGTAATTACTTGAACACCTTTTAGTATTTGTGAATACTGCCAATTGAATAGGCAAGTGACACCGGAAAAATAAAAATAAAAAAGGAAATCGGAATCGTTGCACCTCTACCCTGAATGCATTGTTTACAACAATAATCAATAATGTTTTGTTATGATGTCGTTTTTAGATTGTGATTTTTTTTCTTTTCCCTCAACAGCTTTAGCAGAACAGGGAGACAATTTCCCATCGTGTTTTTTCTTTCGTATTGAGAATGTGAAACTTGTTTCACAATAATGGGCTTTCATTTTCTCATGATGTGCCAGTGCAAAAATCCACCCTGGGACCAATTCCTCTGTACCACAAATCTTTATTTATGGTCTGACTCTTACTTAGACAACTTAGTTTAGACTAAAATTATCTTTTTTTATTGGTGTATTAGCTTTAGTTATATTTGAAAACACCTTTTCTTTTTTTTGTTCTTCAGATCAGTCTTTTTATGCATTTTCATATCATAAAATTCCCTGTAGTTCTGAATCAATGTCTGCTTCATATTAGTTGTGGTTTCACACCAGCACACAGGGGGCCAAATAAACAGCCTGTAAAAAAAAAACAAGACAACAATACAGCTGTAAAGATTAGTGGACTGTAAGTAATGTGTTACACATTGTTCTAGCAATAATATTTTCCAATAGACAGAGCATTGAACAGACAACATTCTGTTTTTTTTTTTTTCATGTTTGCAATTAGATCACGGTTGAATCATTATGTGTAGTTTAATTTCCCCGAGCGACGTTCATTTGGATTCGATCTTCATGTTTTGAATTTTAATATGAAGACCTACCGTATGTAGCAAATAATGAACGCATCCTTCAAGCCATGATTCAGGGTATTTGGTGAGGGTTTTATTACGTCACTCTAAGCCGGTTTTCCTTTTGATGCTTCTATCTGTGTCACCCCCTGAAAACGTAATACCCGACGCCACAATATTCAGCAGCAGCCAACTAATAACATAGACAGATATATCCCAAATATGAGGACAACCCCTGCTGCTTCCAGCTCCGCTGATCCTCCTGGTATGAAACAAATAGCTTGGAAAATTCTCTTTAATATTTTTTGACACCAAAATTATTGTGTAAATCCATGCATTTCTAACTAACATTTAACCACCACAAGAAATGTGTAAATCCATGCATTTCTACCTAACACTCATTTAACCACCACAAGAAATTGACTTTTTTCCAATATTGACTATTTTCTGATAGTAAGTAGATGAGGTTATTTATGAACTTATTTCACATTCATCACAGTTTGAATGTGAGTTTGATAGTAAGTAGATGGGGTTATTTATGAACTTATTTCACATGTAAAATTCATCACAGTTTGAATGTGAGTGATTGGTTTTTTAGTTTGATCAGTGAGAGTTTAAAAGAACATTTTTCCTCTGACTTTTTGGCTCCTCTTGACAGTAGCCGTCACCAGCTGCTACTGTAGGTTTTCATGTTAGACTGCTGAAAAACAAGAAAAAACACTGGACCAATTTAAGTGGCATGAAATGTCCTTTTATTCCTCTGAGTGATAACAACCCCCCCCCCATGGAAAACAGCTTATTTTGAACAATATCCCTTTTTTTTGTTCATCTCTTCCTCCTCACTCAGCCCACAGATGACACCATGTTATATCCCACACGACCAGACACAATACAAGCAGTTGTTACTTAGCCAAAAAAAAAAAAAATTGCACAAAAACTCTGCACAATAGTTTCAGATTGAAATATAAATATAATCACTCTACAGTGACATGTTATCAGATGAAACGTATAAAAAAAACATAGCTCAAAAACCTGTCTTTTCTGTACTTATTTAACCTGTAGTTGACTTTTAAAGATCCGTTTTCAGAATGGAATACTAAAAAATAACAGCAGCATTTCCCTTGATTTCTGGCATTAAGAGATTGGATTAGTTCATTAACACCAACGACAGGAAACTGCCTGTTTCACTGACATTTCCCTTGATTTCTGGCATTAAGAGGTTGGATTAGTTCATTAACATCAACGACAGGAAACTGTTGCCTGTTTCTCCTCTTTGTTTCAAGTCTGAAACTGGTTTGTTCTTTATTAAGTAATAAACTCTTTGTTTAGTAACTACTCTGGACCAAGTTGTTTTGATGATATTTTCAAAGCATATGTGTAATTACTGTAAACAAAGCAGTTTTTTGTAAAATTGGCAATTTAACCAAACGGATTAAAATGATGTAAATAAACCAAACTAATTGATGAGGGAAGCTCTGTGTGTGGATTCAATCACTAGTTAACTTTTTCCAAACTTTTTCTGCAACAACTCCCCTTTATAGAGAGACATTGTTGAACACAGCGTTTCCTTCTTATCTCCACTGACATGTATTCAAAACAATGTGTTAAAATTATTATTACATTTTTTAACAAATTATTGAAGAGAATAAAAAGAAAAGTTTGTCTGTTTTTCCCCACTGTGGGACAAATATTGAAAATTAAAATTAATTTGCTTCGCTGTGACCCCCTCTGCAGTAGCTCTGTGCCCCCCCTAGGGGAAGCCTACCCCCACTTTGGGAACCACTGCATTAATCTAATTCAACTAAAGAATAAATGGTTTGCCGAGAACTTCAGTTTGACAGTTACAAATATAACATTTTAAATCAATATTTGCCTACTTTGTTTTTAACGATGTACTTAATTTGCCACCGCTCTTGTCGTCTGTTCAGGGGCAGTGTGTTATCACGGTGCAGCTCAACGATGACGAGCTGGCAGCAGACGAGGAGGGCGTGGACTACTTCCTGCTGTTTGCTGGCACCACACAAAGACACCTGAGCAGTACCCAGAGGATCAGTCATGACACCCTGCAGGCAGTGTGTCCTGGTAAGGAACCCCGCCCACAAGGGATCGCTGTTTCCCTGTCAACATCCAGGAGAGCGCCACCCACAGTTGTCAACACCACCTGTTTCTACTACATCTAAAACCACTAAACAGGGAAAAATAAAATTATATGGAAAGTATAACAATTAATGCTGTACTGTATTAAAAAACACAATGAATTAAACTTGTGGTTCCATTGTGTAGCAGTTAGCACACCTGCCTTGCAAGCAGAGAGTCTTGGGTTCTATTCCCAGAGGAACCACATGTCCATCATGGCACCTGTGTCGGGAGTCAATTAAAAAATTAAAAAATAAAAATAAAGGCCAAATATTTGCTAAGAGTTACCTATACTCGGCGCACCACAGCAGTTCCACCAGCAGACCAGACTTGTGGCAGCAGAGTGTACTGCACATTACTTTGACATGAGACCAAGTTGAAAGCCGATATAGTACAGGAAGAAAGACATGGTAATAAATGAAATAGTTTTGCTCTGCCTGTCTCTCTACTTCTACTGTTACTGTGATGTTAGCATGGTTGGCTTATTGTTGTGTTCACTCCCAGGCAGCACTGGAGCAGAAGGTCCAGTGTCACCGCACATGGTAAAGAAATGGTGAAAAATAAGTCATACTGTATAGGCAATTCATATGCAGATGCTCACACAGAGAAGCCGGATGTCTACAAGGACAAAAATATTTGAAGTTAATTAGACTGCAGAAATATTTACCTTTGACAAGGGTCTGCCCTTTGGACAGGAAAAGGAAAAACAGACTTTCTTATCTTGTTTGGAGCACGACTCACTTAAAGTCTGTTTGAAGAGGGTCAAACATGAAATTAGATTTTGTTTATATTATAAAAATAAAAAAACATGTAGGTGCTTCTGTTGCTGTCCCAAGTTCAGGGATGGAGTTCCTGTTGTACAGTGTTACTCATCGTTCCCAGAAGGTGCGCCCGTGTCCTGATTTGGTGAATGAATACTCAGGAGTAGTTTATGAGTAAAAGATGTCCTTGAATGACGAGCTTTTTTTCTTCAGTGTGTTTATGACTAAAGTGTCAAGGAAACATGTATTCAATAATTCCTTTCATATGGGGAGGATTCGTCTAGATCCAGGGGTCGGGCGCTGACATTTGCTGCACTATTTAAATTGATGAAGTCTTTTATCACACTTGGCGTGTGGTAAGGAAGTAAATTAAGAGACAGTAAATAAGGATTTGTCAACATTTTCACTGCTTGCCTCTACAGTGCGATCATAACGCCTCCGAGTCCTGTGTTGACACTGGACGTGTACCGCGGCTACGGTTGTTTATTTAATTTGTTGTCAAAAAAATAAAAACTCATTTGCATTAACAGCGGGTTTTACTGATAAGAGGTGTTGTTAATTTGTCAGCCGGCTAGTTTTAATTTGTTGCCGTTGTTGAACTGAGTGTTGAATGAAGTCGTTTTACACTGGTGATTTATTTGTGTAATTTTGTGTTGCGTTTGTTTTTCTTGTCTCATTTCTTTTTGACTAGAATTGATGTTGTTATTCCTTATTAACTTATCTGAAGATTTGTTCTGTTTTATTGATGATTTCTTTGATGTGTTTATACAAAAACTGGATACAAGGAAGTGACGATACAGACACAGATCAAGACTTGTAGATCGATGATTTAGTTTCCATGGTTGCCGATTGATGACTCCTTGTTTATTGTGTGATGTGATGTTTTTTTTAATTAATTTTGTTCTTTTTGTTGTCTTGCAGCTCATGATTGCTGTGAGGAGGTGCTGGTCACGTTGTGTTCTGTCAGCAGGGACTTCAGTCTCCCTCACGTTGCTCCGCTGGCTGAGCATCGATTCAACTTTGTCCAGGATTTGGCTTTTGACATGGCCCAGTTCCTGGTAAGAAACAGGAACAAGTTATTTATAATTGTGAAGCGTTAAAAAGTCAAGACACTGAACAAACCATGGTGATATGTGAAATGAATAATATGATATATTATAATATAATATTGATATTTATTGATATACATATTTTAAAGAATAAAGTGAATGAAATAAGCTTTTCTAAATGAAACAAGGGAAATGATGACTCTCCTCTGTTAACCTGGAAATTTGTATTTGTAGGCAGTTTCTTTTGACATCGCACACTAATCTTTGTAATCGCCCTCATCACAGGTGAGCACCGCAGGCAGGGCTGATGCCCTTGATGGGGCGCTGCTATTGGATGAGTGTCAAATTCCCCTGCAGGAGTGCGAACGCCTCGATGAAAGCCTGGCGCTGGCCCTCCACCATCTTGTACTGCCTCCAGGATGGAGTTTACTGGGCAACAGACTAGACAGCAGCACTGGTGAGACTGGGGCCAGTGGGTTGAAAGTTGAAGTTTGTAAAAATGTCGAACTCCGAGCCGTGATATCGTCCAGTCATATTCACAGGACGTCAGTGAATTTCTGTCTGTTGTTCCTCCCGTCGCAGTGGCTTGAAACGCAGCGCAGTCTCTCCTCTTCTCTGTGATTGGATTAATCAGAGAGGCCAGCCTCTGTATCAGAGGATGAAACCATCGGAGGATTCATTATACACTTTAATTACAACGCCTACACCGCCAAAAGATGCTATTGCTATATAGTAATTAAACAATGTTAGGAATATATTGTTCTGGCCTGTAATTTGAAGATAATTCTGTTCAAGGATTAAGACTCTGCTGCAGCACATTCAGCAGAATGAGTTTTATACCGCAACTATAAATATTGATATCAGCTAATACACACATCAGCCCATGAGTTTGGTAGCGCTACAATTTCGAATTTATGACAAATTAAGCAGAGTTTAGCCTGTGTCATTTCGTGCAGTGCATCTCAGTGAAGAAATGTTAGGCCTTACAGCCAAAATCAAAGATTCATCAACCAAAGTTTGTTCGTTGAGACTCCAAATACGAGTAAAAATAAAATTCAAGCCTAATTTTTTGCACAATATCAAGATTTCAAAGCTAATAATTTTACTGTCTTAGATTTAACATGTCATTACATTTTACAAATTTTAGTCAAAACAGCAGGTGGCGTAGTGGTTAAGGAAGTGGACTTGGGTCTGGAAGGCTTCAGGTTTGAGTCCACCAGCTGCCAAGTTACCACAGAGGTCATATTTGGTTGTGTGCTGTGGTGTATTGTGTGCAGTGGTGCAGTGTCACAATGGCCAATAGTTCACTTTAGCTCACTTCCTTTTTCACTTTCCTATAAAGATATTTAACAAAATGAGGAAGTAAAGTAAAGTGAACTACTACGACACAGAACACCTCTGTTTCTAACCCATCACCAATGTGAACAGTGGTTCATGTTAACCCATCACCAAAGTGAACAGTGGTTCATGGCATCTAAAAGGTTAGGAGTTTGATTTCAGCTACTCTTTAAACCAAGGTGCTGCTGCTACATAATTTTTTTTTTTTTTTTGGTTAAAGAGGAGTCAACCAGTTTGGAAAATATCATCTTTGAGCTTCGGCTCATTGTGCAGAGGTTTTACCCTGACTTTTGGGAGACGTTACGGCACTTCTGTTGGCTCCTGCTGTTGCTGGAATAATATTTAATGTTTGAATGTGTTCTTGTGTGTTAACCAAACCTGAGGGATACGGTTCAAGGAGTCTCTTGTTCATTTTGTAAAGTAAATCTTTAATAAAGCGCTAGTTCCTGGTAGGAAAACCATCCTATTACATACATTTTTATATATATATGTGTATATATATGTGTATGTATATATATATATATGTGTATATATATGTGTATGTATATATATAGGACTATATATATATATATATTACCAGACGCTTGCTCTTCTGTTGCTGGCGTTGCAGTACAGCGTCCAGTGGCGATGACTGATGCGCGCTCTAACAGGCCCCTGTTTCATAATATGTCAGAGCTTCAGTTCAGGATGATCAGCTGCAGTGAACTTTGCCGAGGATGAGAAGTGCAAGTCTGCTCTTCATTTATCAGATCTGTCAGCTGATGGATTGAAGTGTACTTTTAGGTGGAGGTGACGCTGGTTTGTCTCGCCCTGGTCATACTGCCGTCCCTGATGGCACTGCAGTCACCCATTTAGTGTCTTAGGAAAAAAACAGTGCATGAAATAAAAAGTAGGTAATTACTAGTAAAAATTAGTTTTAGAAATGCAAAACTCTTACTATTGTCTTATGATAACAATATAATACAACATGTATTAATTACTTAATGTAATCAAAAATGAATGGGAAATTATCTTTCTTCATTTATGGATTTGTAATTGTAATTTCTGTCTGATTTGACCAGGTAGTTCATAAGTGTAAAGATTTATCTGGGCTGAACTCCTCATCTCCTGCCTTAGTTCAAGTTGCCTGGATATTTTATACGGATCTAAATAAAGTATTTGCTGGGCTGAACTCCTCATCTCCTGCCTTGTTTCCTGGATTTTTTAAGAGTATCTAAATAAAGTATTTTGTTTTGGAGTCCTTCACTAAAAGAATCAATTTTGAAAGTCGGAACTTCCCTGAAAAAACAAAAAACAAAACAAAACGTGATTGTTTTGTGAAACAGAGGAGAGAAAAATGATCTGTTTACAGACAGCGACAAATTAAAATGACATTGTGACAGAATCTAATTTTCAGGATAAATATTTCTGAAGAGATGCTGAAGGAAGAAATCTGCATTCGGCAGCACCTCTGACCTTTAGTCAAAAAAAAAAAAAGAATTCAAATTATTTTTGTTTCTTTACTGTAAATGTAAGTGGACTGAATAAACTAAGAAAAAGACGATGCCTGACTGATGATCCTGTTGGCTAACCTACTTACACCCTGGTCCTCTTTACAAGAGACAACCTCGAGTTTTATCAGTCTGTAAATGTGTAAAGATCAGTGGTGGACAGGGTCACCATGGATTCTGTCTCTCTATAATTGAGCAGCACTGTGCCGTTGCCAAGTTCCAGTGACGGTATGTTGTGTAATGTATCACAAGGTACTCAGACAGTTTTACTCTTTTGACTTTTGCTGCTCTGCTCCTCGTTTGCTGTTGTCTCTCTTCTGTACGGGGGCTTTTAATTTCTCCCTCCCCTTTTCGCAGACCTCACCCCTCAAGAGACACTGCTGCACTTCTCAGCTCGTCGAGGTCTCTTTCGTGTCACACACTTCTTGCTCAAGCAGCCCGGGGCGAAGGAGGCCCTGACACTGGCCAACAGGCAGGGCCACACGCCATCCACCATCGCAGCTTCATGTGGACACGAGCATCTGTACCAGCTCCTCAACACGTAAGTATCACACGTGTTTAGTTTCACCAGAGAACATGAGTGATGTTCAGTGCTCAAGTTTTCAGAATTATGTCCTGTGTACGTATTGTTGCCGTGGTTTCAAATTCAGCGATAAACAGGAATTTGTTACATTTAGGAATGTTGATTTTTCATGATTAATTGTCATTAACAAACAGCTACGTTGTAATTAATCAGATTCAAACTATAATAAGGAAGTAAACTACTTTGTTGTGTTAACATTTTATATCTTGAAAAAAAAGGAAACCAGCTTTTAGATGCCTGCTGTTTTTGTTCCCAGGAGCAGGAGTTGTAGGTTGAACCAGCTCAGAGTCAGTGAACGTTGCCCTTGTCTGTGTACAAACAGACTAATGTCAACATCACAGAGAGTAGATGCCAGGGTTTCTCCAGGACCTCTGAGGCACAACTGGCAGAATCCCATCATTCACTAATACCTTTGCCCACCGACCATGTCCCTTAGAACTCTTAGATTTACATGATGTGGAACGAAGATCAGAGTCTTCTAAGATGGCTTTGAGCTGCTCCTCCTTGAGGAGATTTGACCAAAAAAGAAAAAAAGGTTTTCTTGAAGACATCCTTTTTTGTCTTGCCTGCCTGGTAGAACAAAGCTGTGTCAGAAAACACCTTAAGATCTGGTTTTGTACCTGGTGAGGAACACGATGATGTTCACATGACTTCAAAAGTTTATGATGCTTATCTTTTATGAAAAGATTTAAAGTGGCAGGAAGATAATATTCTTGTTTTCTCTCTGATTATTAGGAAGAAATGTTAACCAATTGTCCCCTAGCACTTAGAAATCCACGCAGTACTAAAATATTTTGAAGTATTTTGGGTATGGCATATTAGAAAAGCAAAAGGCAAAATAGGATTGAGCCTTTGACTGTTGCCACGATGGAACAACGCTGGAAAAACACCACCACAAAACCACGTTACATTACAGCTGTTGGTGCTGTTAGATGGTTGTTGGTGAAATTAAAGAGTTGTGTGCAGCCAGTATTGTTCCAGTGGAGCCTGATTGATGGACACACGTCTATTTTCAACACCCAGACGTTTGCGTGTCATTTTGTTGTGTTGTTACACAAGCAGACATTAGTCTCTCTCTCTCTCCTCTACAGTGAGTGTGTTTGTTTTTCTCTTTGGTGTTAAATGTAAATAATGTCTCTGACTGACTGGTGGGACCGATTCCTACATTCTTAAAGTACAGGGTGGGGGAAACAGGCTGCTCTTTGGTAAATGAACTGAGAAACAGTTTCAAGTGGAAATAGACTCTCGTGTTTATGTCTTCTGCGCACTTCACTTATCTGCTGCGGAATAGTTTCCATTTTATTCAAAATGAAGATGCCACAAACTGAGGCGCAGCCACCAGCTAAGCGATCTCGCCACACTTGCCAGGCGTGCATTCAAGCTGTTTTTACAACTCGCAGCCTTTTCTTTATACGTCGATAATTACGTTTGCCTCATGAGAAGTGAAGTCACTCCTAGCCCGGTCGGTGACCTCAGCTCTCAGGCCTCGTAGCTAAAGCAATCCACCCAGGATTGTGCAAACATATCTGCCCGACAGGGAGGTGTCCTTCCTTCACAGCTTTATCTTCACCAACAAAAACACTGCAGATACTTTTACCTTCTACAACAAGTACTTGCAGCAGGGGAAGTTTTCCTGACTGGCTTATCAAATAGGAGTGGTCTCTCACACACGGTGTACCAAAGGGGAAGTTGTTTCAGTCCTCTTTTTTTTTTAAATGTCAGTATCTGGATTATTTCAACATTTACATGCTACATCACTGCCTGACTGTATTATGTGATGGTTGAAGCTGACCCGCTCAAAACCAGTGCTTTTTCCACTGTTCTAAGTGATGTCTTTGTAACAGGGATGACCCAGTGGGAGAGGCGTACACTCAGAACATCCACCCAGTCTCTTCAGACGCCCGGGTAGTTTGCCACCTACCGAGATTAAACACACACTCCCTGACGCTGAGAACACACCCTGGGCGTGAGGTTCCCACCCTCCAGGAAGGTGTGGAGCAATTACTGCACCACATCCATGCCAAGGTGAGTCAAATCACCCTTCCTTATCCTGTCGTCTCCCTCACGTCGACCAGGAGCTGTGCTACTGCATTTTTGTATTTTTTCTTTTTTTTCTGTCTCCTCTCCCTTTTTTAACCTTCAAACTTAGTTTGTATAACCAGTGGAACATCTTATGCAATCACTGTGTTGGTGTGTGATAAAAACTGGGGAGCAGGACTGATGGTCTCTCCCAGGGAAAACATTTATATATCTCTCCTTTTATATTCTGCAGGGAGTTTCTGGGCTGGAGCTTCGGTTTGATCGTCTGCACACAGCTGCTGAATGTTGTGATGCTGTAGAGACAGAGATAACCTGCGTGGAGGAACTACAGCAGCCTGCTGGCGCATGCAAGTGTTTGGATATAATAACTGGAGACAGCTGTGCTCAAAACTGCCTGGTGGCAGGCAGCAATACTGATTTAGGATGTGGTGAGACAGAGAGTGCGGAGAACGACTCCAGTTTACCTGTGAGCGTTCCAAAATCAGAAGTACGCCCAAAAGAGGTTGGCCTTTTTTTCTCCTTGAGGGAACAGGTATGTTTAAGTTCAGAGGAAACGGATGGAACACTCGAGGAGCAGCTCCTGGTTTTCACTCAGGATTTGAGTGTCTGTCACACCAGTGAAGGACCACAGGTTGAGGCAGAAAGGGCAAACCTCACTCTGGGAGTCGTACCACCAACTGTCTGCGGTAAACAGGCAGAGGAAACTGATAGAGAGGCTGTGATCTGGGAAGTGCAGGAGGCCATAAAGGGAGAGGGAAGATCTGAACAGGAAGAAAAGCTTAGCACAGCCGGGAGGAGGGAGGAGGAGGAGGAGGAGGAGGAGGAGGAGTCCAACTCAGAGTCAACAGAATTAATAACACCCAGTGTACAACAGAAAGCTGTAGTCATGGGGCAGTCCTCATCGTTAGAGGGTTTAGAGCAGTCCGAAAACTCTGACTCTGAGATCAAGGATTGTTCCCAGGAAGGTGGGAGAGTTAAGAAAGACGAGATGAAACTCTGCGAAGAACTTTGTGATGGACTCTCTTTACATGAGAATGAGGGGTTAACAGACCCTGTGTCAGCCTCAGGGGACCCTTCCCACCCACCGATGACAGACTGCGGTGATGTAATAGAGCGGCCTGAAGCTGCTTTTTCATGTCTCCTGATAGAAGGACTCCTGGAGGGGGAACCTCCACCAGACACCAGCAGCCTGGAACAAAACCAGGAAACAGCTGGTAGGGATTATTTGACGGATGGCTCAAGAAGTACATTCTGATTGTACTGGAACAGCGAATGGTAAAGAACTAGATGTTCATGACTTAAGTGTTGAAGACTCTACTCTACCGGTGGCTGACGTCGACAGCACAGCTGGTTCTAGTAATGCTGGTAGAAACTCTGTAGAAACCACAGTTGATGATCTTGAAGCCGATTTTAAGCCATCAGCTTCGATGATGCCCAACTTCAGCTACAGGTGTTCAGATTCAGATCAGTGCCTGATCCCCGGCCACTCGAGTGATGAGGATGCCAGTTTCAAATCACTTGGAAGCTCGACGACAGAAATATTCCATCCTACCGAAGACAGTGTCAGAGCGGAGGAGCAGGATGTGATTCATCCTGAGGTTGGACAGCAGACCTCAGCAGGATCGACGATGAAGGAGACAAACGACACGAGATCGCCCGAAAATGAAGCGTTTTTAGCCACTGGGATGTTATGTGACTCCGGCCTCGATGCATTGAGAAACGTGGACAACAAAACTGATGGATCTCAACCTGAATCACAGTTGCATCCCTGCTTGGAATCACCACAGGACTACAGCACAGAGAGGACAGAACCGTCCTGTGTGGACTCTTCTACAGACTGTACACTTTCAGAGTTCGTGGACGACACCTCATTAGAACCAGTGGAGTATTTGGCATCAGAGATCACCAGTGGGCCTTCATGTGAACTTGACTTTGTTGAAGAAGATGAAACATCTGTGGCGGCCTCAGAGAACGACCACAGACAGGAGCGTTCAGAGACGTCAGATGCTGAACGGTCACTGGACGAAGGCTTGGGTGGTCCTACCGATAATCCTCCATCCCAGAGTATCACCGCAGCTTCAGATAACTCCAAGTTAGAAACATCTTCTTTAGACACCGACGCAACGAGTGAGTCCATATATGATCGTGACAACAAGCTTGACGCGGTGGACGGGGCCTGGGAAGGAGACATCGGTGCAATCCACGGTGAGGAAACACTGATTTATATCAATTCTACTCCTTTTTAGTTTTGTGCTGCGCGGTCACATACATCATACGTCAGTCTTATTCATGAAACTTGTGCTAAATCAGATTCAGGCTTTCTCTCCGTGATGAATGGCAACAGCGGCTGAAAAGACAAATGTGATGTCACCAGGTCCCGTTGTGCTCATGGGGGAATTGTGACTTTCATGTGACACCCTGTTGTTAAATGTTTCTGTTGTGAAAATGTGTTTATCCATATTAAAAACAGTCAATTTTGTACAAATGTGACAGTTACACATTAGTTTTGCCGCAGCAGCGTGTGATGACTCTGAAGGATACACAGCCGCACGTTATGTAACCGACAACACTGAGTAATCTTGTATCTCCGCTGCCCTGGGCCAAGTGCAGTCTGTCAAAACAGCACATATTATTCAGACGGTGCCTGTCGAGTACAGAAACACAAGTGTAGACTGAAGCCAGTGTGCATCAGCAGACAGAGTCATATTACTGCAGCATGTGACCAAGTCACAGACCCAGAGCCGAAAGGCAGAGTTCTGCAGAACAAACAGACGCACGACCAGCTGATATGAACGCTGAACAGGAAGTTCAAAGTCAACCACACAAAGTCAACTTCCAGCACGTGTCTGACGGCAGTTTTCTAGAATCATGGAAATCTGATTCCATTAGTGGGGAGACCAAGGTCAAGGCCAAGACCGCAGTGTCGTTATAATTAAGCTGGGGTGTGGGGGGTGGATCGGGGGGTGTTTACAGCCTGACAGTGACCTGGTGTCAGGTCATCTGTCTGAGAAACTGAATTTTGTGTTGTGTTTTGTTATGAATAATGACTTTGTTTACAGTTTTCTTTCTTTTTTTTTTTTTTTAAAAAAAGGGCTTTAAAAAAGTCATAGATTTTTAAGCTTTACTTTATGAGATTTTTACATTACATTTGGCAAACCAGTGCAGTTCAGTGCAATTTATTTAATTTACTCCATCTCTGATAGACTTGCCGTACTTCCTCGAAATGTCATTAAATCTAAAATCTATGATTTGGCAACACAACACATTTCCATTTCTTCAAGATTAAACTCAGGACTGAGATCTCAAACGAGTGCAAAAAAAGACATTTCCATTTCTTCAAGATTAAACTCACGACTGAGATCTCAACAGACTTTTTTGCCCATATTTAATGTATGGTTTCCTCTTTAATGCACTGGAGGACTGTGTTCAGAATCATTGATTTTCCTCCAAGTAGTTCTTGAAACTGACGTAAGATTTTATTTCAGGATTTTAATGTGGCCGTGGCGTTAGTTATTAAAAAATGTTAAATGTCCACATTTCCTCAGCAATACATTTAAGTGGTTTTTTTGTGTGTGTTATTAGTTAATCATTAGACTCAGAGCCATTATGTCGTTATAGAACCCAGTGTCTGCAGTGACAATAGAAAATTCTCACCTCTTTTTACTTTAGGCTCCTGTTATTGATCCTGGTGGGTTTGAATACTTGGTCTTTGGACTGATTGCATTTTGTTGTGTGCACTTCTCTAGAGGGAGATGTCATCAAGTCTGAAGTCACAGTAATTACTGCATGGAAGGAAGAAAATCACACGGCAGAGGAAACAGACTTCTCCACGGTAAGCCTAAAGTCTTCAGTGTTCGTCAGCTAACAAGTCCGGCTTTGTCGTCGTGCAGGTTGTGTGAGGAGATGAGTCATGTTTACCAAGGCTTAAAAACATGCTTTGGCATTAAGACGTAAACACAACCTGTAACCAGTTTTCTGAGGTATTACATAAGTCAGGGTAAAAATATGTGTAAAAACAAGGCCATATCAAATGTGTGTGTGTTCATATGTTAGTTCAGCAGTGTTTGTTACTAAAATGTCATGGAGCGCGTTGATAATAGCCGTTTATAATGGCTGCAGATGAGCTTTTACGTTTTTCCTCCAACGCTGGGACACAGTGTTCTCACTGTGCTGGAAGAAGTGCAGTCACACTGATGCCACACCTAAGCAAGTCAAACAGGGTGTTTAATAAAATTACAATATTACAGATCCAACAGGAGTTCCTTTTAAAGCAGTAACACAGTTGTTTCATCTCACAGTATGAAAACGAAGTGTTGAAATAGTTGACTTTCTGCTACAAGGCTACAGTAACCGTGACACAAATTTAGGTTATAATTTATTTTAATTTTGACATTTTAGAATTTCACTTATGTGCTAATTAAAAATACATCACAAACGTAGAGCTGATGCTCACTGCCTGAAAAACAAGTTTTGCATGATAATTTCAGAAGAGAGGACAACGTCATGTTTACACAGCTGCTTTTTGCCACATTGAAAACTGCACGAAAAACAGGTTCTGCTCCTCACACGCATCGTTAAGTGGTAAAAAGCCGTGTGTTGTTTTTTTGTTTGTTTTTTTTTTTTTTCAAAACTCCGGCAGGCGTAGAGAGTTTTATAAAATTACTTATCAGTAGTAGAAATGTACAGATACAGTAGGTAGTTCACTAGAAAGAACTACCCCGAGTTTGTAAAACAATTTGTACACATTGACAGCACTCATAAAACCCCTCTTCTGTAAATGATGACCTTTTTTCCAGAACACGTCTCAGAGATTATGAATAACCGCTGCTTTATAAGACACAGCATTCAACGAGGATTTGCTGCAGTTCCCACGTGGAGTCACTTGTCTGTGTAACCGCTGAATTATTCTGTATCCTGTCACCGTCATTCTCCTGGAAAAACTCTGTAGGTTAAGAGCAAATTAAATGTGCATTTCACAGCACAACACATCTGATGGAAAGAAAAAACTAGTTATCTGAAGCCAGAGCTTGCACAGAGAAATGAGGAACAAATCTGTCGGGAAGATTTCCCTCTCTGCTCAGAAGCATATTCAGCTTTTTTCTTTAACTGACTTCAGTTGAAACATATAACCTGCTGGTATTTCCTCAGATGACTCCGACACATCTCTTCCCCCTCGTCCTACAGAGAGTCATGTATTACAGTTGATTTCCCTCAGCCCTGAGCACGTGGCTGTGATCTTCAGTGAACGGGACTTCACTCTGAAATATTGCTGACGGACGGATTCCTCAGCATCCTTAGACTGGAGAGCTCCGCTTATTCCTGGGTTGTGGTCAGGGTCAGTGGCTTATTCTGAATACCAGATGTTTGACTGTAGTTGTGTTGCAGGGTGGCACTCTTGCCAACAGAGGGCACTGTAGCATCAAAGGCTTCCCTGGAGTTTTTGCCCTTTTGACCACAGAGAGAATGAGAGGGGTTTTTTTTTCTCACCATGGTAAAATCTTCTGCACTTTTCATGGGGAGCAGTACCAAACTGTGTTGTTGCTGCTAATACACTGTAGGGGGAGCTAAAGAGAAGAGAGTGGGTGTCCTGACGGTTTGCCTGTTGTGTATCATTCTTGTCTGGCTCTTTGCTAACGAGCTTTACTCTGAGGGAGTTTTTGTATTCTGGTTCACATCCTGTGTCTCTTATGTCTTTATTGTCACAGGAAGTATTTCCTGTCTTTGTCATGGAATTGTCAAAATCATTTTTTATTTTTTAATTGTCCTAGTCCACCTTAATTTAACTCATGGAGATTAGATGATGGCATTTACTTCAACTTCAAGTGAAATGCTGTTACACTGAAATGAAAAACAAGCAAAAAACCACAAACTAAAATCTGTTTGTCTTGAATGACTTGTCAGTTTTATACTTAATTATAGAGTTTGAAAGTGATTGTCAGAATAGAAAAGCTTTTTGAACAATGTGAGAGATATTTATAAAGATGAATTAGTAGGCCGTGTATGTGGGGCAGCTTTTTATAGCTAAAAAAAACAAAAAAAACAAGACACTGTCCACAGTTGAGAGACATAATCAGCACATATTACTCCTAAGATTAAAATCAGAGGTTTTCCTGTCTGCAGTCAAACGTCTCGCCAAAGGTTTGAAAACACACGTCTGATAATAACTGAGATTGGGTTATTATTTTTGTTTGTTTTCATAAGGGCCTTGTAGACCTTTCTACAAGGTCATGGCAAAGACACGAAAAGTCCTGGTGG